GGAGGCGGCCTGGGAGACGCCCGGGGAAGAGGCCGGGGGAGGGGGGGGCCCTCCTCGCCCAGAAGGAAGGGACTGCCTCCGGGCCACGGGCAGCATCCTTCCAGGGTCAGCAGAGCTTTTCGTCAGAGGAGTTAGGTCAAAACAATAGAATAGCACTAAAGGTCTGCGCAGAGCTTGGGAGCGTCACTCGCGGGACTGATGAAATGCCCGGTCCCCGAAGAGGCCGGCGCTGCCCCTGAGCATGTACAAAGCGCACCCCGGGCACAGGGAGGCGAGGCGGAAACGCTGCCCCTTCGTCTTGTGCCTGAGAACGGGAGCCAGCGGAGGAGCCGCCGAGGGGAAGGCGCTTGCCCACCGCTGTAGGCATTCAACGGGCATCCCCCACCCCCTCCTGGAACCCCCGAAGGTTGGCAGGGGTCCTGTTCCCGGGGAGAGGGCATCCCGGAGGGCGGGGGGGGGCCTCCCGGGGTCTCGAAGGGAGGAGGCCACCGGTCCTGCTGCCTGGCCTGGCCGGCTGACTCCAGGAGAGGCAACCCCCGAAAGGTAACTTCCCCAAGTTCCAGGCAGGTGCCCTGGATTGACAAGCGTCTGGTTCTGGGCCCATGGTGCGAGTTCTGACCGGAGGCATCGCCTTTCCAAGGTGGCTTCGTTCCCATCCCACGCTGGAGGTCTTGGGGATGGGACGGGGGGGGGCGCTTTGGCAGGCAAGATGGGGGGGGCTCTTCTGCTGAGCGACAACTCTTTCCACACCTGTGGTGCCTCTTCTCCTGAGCGACAACTCTTTCCACACCTGTGGTGCCGCCCCGACAGGGCAGAAGTCCCAGGAGGAGGTCCTGTTTGCCTCGCTTCCAACATCTTTGCTCCAAGGAGCAGTGTGTTTTCTTTTGGGGGATATTTTTGAACCACAGGCAAATGGAAAAGGTCACCTGCCTCAAGAGGATTTGAGTTTCGTAGAAAGTTCTTTCCCTGGCCTGGTGGACAGCATGGAAAAACGACGAGGCAGAAGGTCGCCAGGCGGGTTATTTTCACAGCTGTTCCTGTTAAGACTAGGATTTTTTTCCCCCAAAGGCAGAGATTATCTCCTTCTCCACCACCAGAAAAATCCTCCCACCCCCAACAGCTGTCCCAGGCTGGCCGGGCCTTAGCAACTGGAGAAAACAAACATGGACCCAGCGCAGGGCTTTCCGCTGGAGCGCAGGGGCTTTTCAAGAGGTCTACCCTCGAGGACAGGAAAGGATGGCAACGGCAGGTGGAAGCGAGGCTCTCCACTCAAGCATCATCCTACCCCACTCCATGGGGAGCCCTTTGCTTTTTGCAGGACAAGGCCACCATGAAGTAGAGGGCAAAAACAACAACCCAGGTCTGTTGTGAAAGGTGACCGTTGGCCAGAACAGGGACTCAAGTTGCAGGTGACGTGGACTCATAGTGTGTCTTCCTGAGGGAACAGAGAACTCCAGAAAAGGAGGCAAAGGACGTGTGTGGATCCACAACGGTCTTGGCCTTCATTGCTTAAAACTGCACAACACCGTTTAATTACAAAGCTGACAGAAGTAAAAAGCCAAATACAGAAGAATCGTACAAAAGAATGCCATGGTTATTTCGACACACATGCACGCATGCACACACAAACGCACCACGGGTACAAAAAGCAAGTCACTCCCTCCCAGAGCTTGGAAGGATGTCCTTTTTGGACGACAACTCCAGAATGGAGCCGTGCATCATCCCCCACCCCCCAAGTGTAGTCCAAAGAATTTTCATCTCCAAGCCCGCCCTGCTCCTTCACGGTAACGTTTGGCACTCCACAGATATGAACCCTTGGGCTCCTTTCAGCCCGGGTGCAGCTAAGAGAGCTGAGCGATGGGGGCTGTTCTTGGGGTCAAAGAATGGCCTCCTTGACCCAGCATCCTGCTTCCACCCGTGGCCAGCTGGCAGCTTCAGGGAGGCCAACGAGGGCCGGCCACAAAAGCAAGGGCCCTCCTCCGGGGTGTCTTCCCTGAACACCCCCACGGACAGACGGCCTCCGACCGTGGAACAATCACTGAGCTATCTCAACTAACGGCTCTGGCGAGGTCTCACCTCCATCCCATGTGCTCTGACATGATGGACACCACACACACCGGGTGCAAGTCCTCATCCCAAATCACTGGCCAAGATGCCAAACAGGGAGGGACAGATGAGGTCTGAGAAGGAATGAGAGTGGCCGCCACCGTCGGTGCAGTGCAGTACAAGAACCGGACATGGCTAGGGCTACCCCTCCTCTTTTTGAACTAACTTTCTCTGTTTTCCTCCCTGATACGTCCCCTTAAATTGCCAGGAGAAGGCCAGGATGCCCTCGCCAGAGGCCTGAGCCGATTGCAAACAGAGGGCTCTTGAAACAAGGCCCATGGCTGTGCACGCTCTGTTGGGGCACCACGTCGACTTTCTCCATATTTAAGCAACAGTGTACCTGCTTTGGAGCTGCTGAACTCCGGCCTCAAGACCTCTCCTTCCTAAACGGCACCAGGAAGTTCTGCCTCATCACCTCCATCCAGGAGACTCTCGAGCCCCAGGACAAATCTCTCAGCACATCCAGTTCATGGTGGTTTCCTCAAAGCACTCCACATGAGACAGGATGATGGGACAGGAACAACTCCATCTCTGAATGCATTTGTGGGGAGGAGAAGAGTTCAAAAAGGCCCCCCGGCCTCCACAGCTGAAAATATGCCACTTCCTGAGAGTCTGAATTCAAAAAGATTATTGCTACAACCCTGAGAAGACCCTGCAGACAAATGCAGGGGGGATAAAAATCAATTATTTCTTTTTTTAAAAAGTGAACTGATTTAAATTACAGCTTAAATCATAATTTAATTTTTTTTTAAAATAATTTGTTTTAAATCATCAAAAAATAATTAGAATTTAAATCATGATTTCAGTCAATTTGGTTTAAATCAACTGGGACCTGGACAAAAGCAGTTCTTTGGGCACTTCCTTCCGACAGAGCTTTCTCTCTGGACCAAAGATCATCAGCAAGGGCCACTTCGCTGGCCAAAGGACGGCAGCAGCTTGGCAGCAGCAGCAGCAGGAGGAGGGCCCGGCCCGGCGGGGCAAGGAGGGCCCGTGTGGGTTGGGGGTGAGATGCTCAGTGAGGCCAAAAGCATTTCTTTGGGTCAGGCTGGGGAGGTTTCAAACACTTCCCGATCTTCTCACAACCCGGAGGAGCCCAGTTCTGTTACAAAAGGGGAAAGAAAACGAGAGAGAGAGAGAGAGTTCTGGTCAGCCTTGCATTATTTGTTCCAAATCACTCTGAAACTGAGATGCAGCACAGGAAGCTGCCAAGGGTCCAGCCAGACCACGTCCCATGACCACCTCCTCCAGCCAGCACTGCTTTCCAAGGCCTCGGGCATCTTACCCAAAGATCCTTTCCCATGGAGGTGCCAGGAACTGACTCCGGAGGCAGAACATGTGGCGTCCGTGAACGAAAGCTCTCAGAACGACCCGCCCTATAACTTTCTGGCCACCATGAGTCTAAACTAGCTGGAACTAGCAACTGGATTTAGGTCCTTGTTCTGTGTACTGTGACAGACTATGGTAGCTACTCTTCTGGAAAGAGGATAACGAATAACTGCTTTGCTTCTTCAAGGTGCTGCACATGAATAATCTTACAATAGCTTCATAATGGAAGCATTATTATCTGGGGTGGCTGAGCTACAGGAGCCTACCTAAAGCCAACAGGTGTCGCCCTGGAAAGATCTGAACCGGGGACTCCCAGGAACGATGGCATGTTATCTCCTGGGGATATATCCGGTGTGGTTCATGAACTTCCTAGGTAAGAAGAGGACTGACGGGAAAGGGGCAGAGGCTTTCTTACTACAGGCTACGGCAGATTTCCTGAGCGAGCGATTAAGCACAGGGAAGAAGCCACTTGTTGGCTCAGCTGGAGTGGATGCCTCAAATTCCCATCTATCGGGAGCTATCACACCTGGCTAGGTAAAGACAGGTAAGACCATAATGCCCATGTCACTGGCTAGAACATAATGCACCTTGGCTTCCCAAACCACCAGGCAAAGCACAAACGTGATTCTAGGGGAAACCAGGGCCTAGAGCTTCAGCCTTCTGGTTACCTTTCTTCCTTCTGCTGATCGTATTCCATTATATTGCCAGTGTGCTGCATGTTTTCCCCCCAAGGTTATTATTATCAACAACTTATTTCTATCAGGAGAAAGGGATGGTCAAGAATAGCTGCCACCGGTCAGGCTACCCTAACCACTGTATGGTTAAAAACGGCAAAGGATCCCGGACAGACAGACAGACCCAGCCACCGGGCCAGGCGTCAGCTGCGTCTCCCTCTCTCTCTCTCTCTCTCTCCCAGCACCTCCACATCCCAGGGCTGTCTCTCTTGTTCCCTCTTCTGGTCTCATGATAAGTGAGCAAAATCTTTGTAAAGCTGACAGGAAGAAAGAAACAGCCCTCAACTTTGAAAGACTCCATCATTATTTTGCACAGACATATTTGTGGAGATTACCCAACGGAGCTCGGGAGAAGACAGCCGTCTGGGAAGGCCAAGGGTGAGGCAGATAAGAACATTTGTGTTTTAAAGAGCAGCTTGATGGATTAGCCCGCCAATTGATGGATTAGAAGGCATTTGCATGGCGACACCGAGGAGGGGAAGTGAGCCTCTACGGTTAGCTGGAATCGTCCAGCCATGCTCCAGTTTTGTAGAGGAGAGCCAATGTCAGGAAGGAGGAGAACTCTGTGCCCCGGCTCCACAACAGAAATCCCGTCCGGAGGCCAGGCAAGGTGACCAGTCAGACCCAGAAACGGAAGAATAGCATTCATTGGAGACACCCCAGAGGAAGCTCTTGTCACCCAGCCTCTGTCATCCAGCCTTTGACCCTCTGACCCTGACCGTACACATCCTGCTGCAGTTTTTAGCCTAATCTGTTTTTAACAATTTTGCAAGTAGTCTTAGGTCCTATATGGGGAGAAAGAAGGAACAGAAAGAAAATAAAATAGAAAGGGCAGTACCGTATTTGAATTCTTGTATGCAGAACAGCGACCAAGGAAGCAAAGTTGGCTAGCCGGGTTCTGTGACTGGCATTTTGCACGTGGTGGTCTGAACCCAGTTGATACCGGTGGCCAAGTAAGATGAGCCGATGAGCGCCTCGAGTGGGCTATACTCTCCCAGCTCCCTCTGACTAGCCCCACCTTTCATTCCTCTCCCCACTGCTCCTTTGGGGATCCATGCCATTCCTATTACAGGGGCGTTCTTATCTTTTTCATCTGCTGAAGACAGCATTCCCCCTCCCCTCCCCCCCGCCAGGGCAGGGGAGTGTGTCTTGTTTGTGTCCTGTGCAGCACCTTGCGCCCTCCTGGGACATCGCCCATCCCTTCCTTCCCAGTGTAACTAAGCAGACCACCTCTCCCCCCTTTGGCTTCTCTCCCTCCCTCCCTCTCTCCCCCCCCTCACTCCAAGCCCACCCATCCATGGGAGACTCAACCTGTCAGATATTAAAGGTCACTCTTGCCCACACAGTGCTGCTCTCGTGTTATTTTTAACTGCTTTGTTCAGCCTGAGAGCCCTGTGGGGGAAGAAAGAGGCTTTGCAACGGCCAAAGAGGCGGCTGCGGAGACTTGGCCTTCTGTACGTCCAACGCCAGGCGGCAGTGACGGCCTTCTGATGACAGGGAGAGGCAGCGGCTCAGCTCTTGCCTCTTACAACAGTCTGAGGGACCCATAAAAGGGCTTTTTGAATTTTATGTTTCATTTCCAAGGTGCAAAAGGGGAAGTGGGGCAGAGCGTGTGTTTTTTTCCTACTAAGATGGAAGAAGGAAACCTCATTTTGCCTGAGAAGGTAACGCTGAACACCAAGATCCAGTAGAGTGGAAAGCTCTGCTGGAGTTAAAACGCAAGAGCTCTCTGCTTGCTGTTGCCCCTGTAGAGACCGGCCATTTCTGCACACGGGACGCCCACTTGTGCATTCAATTTCTGGATACATCTTGGAATGAGAGGAAAGAATGCCAGGCTGCCCGTGTCGTGGTCTCTGCTATGGGAGTGGTTTAACTAACAAGGATCCTAGCACCCCAGTTCTGAGTGTCTAAACTAGAGTCCTCTGGATTCTCCCACAACAAATATGCACCTTGCAACACAGAGGTGTTTCCTTTACTAACGGAAAATTCCAGGCTCCACTTGCAACCTCAGCACCGACAGGCAAGTTCCCGGGGACAGAACGGCTACCCTGATTCTTTTCTATGTGACCCTTCCATGCTAGAAATCTGTGCCATTCACACAGGCCCCAGGGCTCCCACTTAAAACTTGCTGCATTTTCAATTCGACATATTGAAGTGGCAGCAAGTTTCTCAGTCTTGTGGCGGCAACTGAATAACAATGAGCTAGTGGTTGGAATGGATTGGTCTCCGACGACGACGACGAGATGCTGGATGGGCTCCCTTTCAGTTTCCTGAACTGCTCTCTGCCACCCTCCTGCAGAGAAGGAGAACTTGGGACAGTGCAAAAGAAAAACCTGCCCGGCTGCCCTGAGGAAAGGCCGTAGAAGGAAGGAAGCTTGCAGCCGTTTTCCTGATTCATCTGCCCATCCCCTAAAACTCGATTTTAAGCTCTCCCTCCTTCAAGGGAAAGAGGGGGCTTTCTCCTCCTTCCCAGCATCTCTTAACAGAAAAAGTGATGTTTAAATGCTGTGAAATGCAAGGGAGGCCAAGGATTTGAAGGTGTGGCTTCCATTCCCCTTCCCTTACCATGACCGCCTTGTCACAGACATTGAGCTGAGGCTGCCCCGGAATCAGCGTCTCCTGGTGCTGCTTGACGATGGGCGAGATTCTTCCCATCACTTCTTGGTATTCATCGCTTGAAAAGCTGGAATGCCAGAAAAGGGAGAGCAGCTGTTATAGAGATGTCAGTGCTCGGCATGTTAATGTATATGCCCTGGCGGTGGCTGGGAGGGCCTAGGAAGTCATCTTACACTGTTGAGCTATCAAACCCAAGGTTGTTTGTTGTAGGCGGCTGGAACTCTCCAAGCTCTGGCAAACGAAAAGGTCTTTTCCATCCCCTGCTAATGAGTCGTTTTTAACTGGAGACACCAGGGACTGAATCTGCATACAAAGCAGATGACCCAGCCCTGTGCTACAGCTTGAGATGGGTTACTTACACGACAGCCCCAGGGAGTGGTACCTGCAGAGAAGGAGCAACTGCTGAACCTTTTGAGGGCTCAGGATGAGCATGGCAAGTGGACAGACCAGGATCTTGTCTATGTCTGGCCACTGGATGTCAGCAGAAAAATTGGCTCCATGTCTGAGCCACTTTTGTGACTCTGGTCCAACAGGGTCATCCCAGGGTCCAGCCAACGGCCGGGGATGCCGAAAGCTATAATCCAAAGTCTCCAGAGGACTCCAGATCGCAAAATGCTTCTTATGTGACTGGATCTATTTAAACAGGCCTGCCTTTCACCACGGTTGACTCTACCCAAACAGAAGGAGCAGAGGACAGAAACGCTCAACAGAAAAGACTCTTTCAGAAGCCCAATTCCTGGCTAGTGCTTCGAACCCCGGTCTCAAACCCTTCCCATCAGCCCCCTGACAAGCCACCTTTTACTCTTGTCAGGATTACAAACTTCAGCAGGTATTTGTTTAAGTGGCTTAACGTTCCCTTTCAGTCTGGTATTACTTCAAGTATTCTTAAATGGAGGATTAATACCCAGTGATCTCATTTTGCCATCATATTAAGAGTCACTTAAGAAACAAAGAACAGCAGATTGCTTGCAGATAAAATGGGAACAAGACCACTCAGGCCTTGCCCTGGACCCTCTCCACTGTGCGCAGGGTCCAAGCTGGATGCTGCACCCTCCCTCCCCTGCCCCCCCCAGGGCTCTTGATGTGCTTCCCTCTCCAAGATCAATCACCTCCCAAATCCAGAACATGCCAACCGTTTCCAGTAAGTCCTCTAAATACCATTTATCTCCCTGGCAGCCTTCCAACGAGAGAATGTGTGTTGTGAGTGACCAAGCCCGAGGGTGGGCTCGATCCAAGCCCAGCCCAGAACACGATCTGGAAGGAGGAGGAGCAATGAGGGATGGATGGTTAAGTGGTCTGGGAGCATCTTCCGCCTAACTTGTTGCAGCCTGGGGAACAGCACCGTCGCCCAAGGTGACCCCTTGCAAACCTCAGAGAAGTCACTTCTGGGGGAACTACAACCTCAGAGAATCACCAGCAGCCATGTTCTTATTTATTGATGTTCTGGACCCCTGTCCAGAGAAGACAGAATCCGTAGCGCTGTGCCACTGAGCGATGCCCCGGCCTGCCCCGCACCCCCATATCCCAGAGAAAGGCAGAGCGCTTGCTCCTGCAACCACCGTCTCCATCAACAGTAGCCAGCCCAGAAGCTGCACAGCACCTTCTCATACAAAGGACAAGGATGCAGGAATCCCAACACCAGCTCGGCACAGCAGGCAGCCTAGCAGCCACCTCCGTTTCATCTGAGGGCAGAACCGGTGAGCAAACTAACGCCCTGACACAGGCGCAATTTTCACGCGGGTGCTATGTCTGTACAGGTGTCTTGAATGCCTATTGTCTCAGAAAACTGACAGCTTGCTCTGCCCCCGGGCCACCCGAAATTTGTATTCCGTCTCTTCAATCCTACTGAGGGGTGAGGGTGAATTGCAGTATAAGAATGGGAAGTGGGGGGAGAGAGAGAGAGAGAGAGAGCACCAGGGGGGTGAGCAGGTGGTGTTGTGAGGAGCTGGCGCGGAGAGTTTCCCCCTGTGACCGCAGAATTATTCCATGCTTGGGATGAAGGAGCAGCGTGGACAGAGTCCAGGTCATTACACTAATTGACACTTTACCTCCGGGAAGTCCCGGGAGAGCCAATCAGGCCTGGATTGGAGGCGCGAAGGCCCAGGCCCAGGTGCGGCGTGGGTTTAGTTCATTTGGTGGAATTGTGCTCCTGCAATCTGTCCTTGGCCCCCCTCCCACTTCGAGCCGTGGTTCACCCTGCCGTGGCCGAGGCGGAAGGAAGGCCTGCCCCGACGCTGGGGTGGGGGTGGGAGGCTTAGGGAAGAGGAAGCGAGGAGGAGGCTGGGGCTGGGGAGAGACTGCTCCCACCCTTGGCGCTTGCCATCTTAACCTTGAGGTCCTCCCTCCCTTTCCAGCCCCATGGAAGGATCAATCCTCCTGAGCAGTGAGAATACCAGCCGTGAAGCACTGCACCTTTCACACAACATGTCGCTCCATAGACTTCGGTCCCTCTGGTGTGTGTGTGTGTGTGTGTGTGTTAGGGGCTTCTCTACCTAGGCCTCTCTCTGCATCTAAAACAACGTGATCTACGCTTACGTGGACTCCAGGCTTTCATGCCCCTGAAATGCACAGAAGCTCCCGCCAAATAAAATCTATTAAGTCTTTAGAGCACCACAAGACTAACACGTCTTACATCTGTATTTATGCATCTATCTGTCTGGACCTCCCTCAATCTACATCTAGAGACACAAAAGGGAGCTCTCAGGAGAGGCAGCCCTTCCAGTCCGCTGGGTGGCTCTCACCGTTTGTCCCCTGACTTCAGGAGAAACAAAGCAAGCGATGCAGGACCTGAAAACAGAGGGGGCTTTGCTGGACAAAACGACTGCCCCCTCCCTGTCCAAAACAATCCGTCGGATGTGCCACAACAGGAGTGGGCATAATGAAGACACCGCTGCATCACCCTCTCTGTCTATTCTGGTTCAGACTGCTTTTCAGAACCACCTTGCCCAGCCTACGCTGGAGGATCGAGGGGATGAGGAAACAGCTTGGACCTTTCAGATTCCACAGCTTTGATGAAGGAGGGCGCGTGCAGGGGGCAGTCCCTGCCACCCTCACACCACCACCGCTGCCACCACAGCCACCTAGTACAGTTGGGGCTTGAGTATCCCAAGAATGGTCTTCTGCCCGATGGGACAGTCCACGCACTCAATGGCTCAATGGGAGCATCCTCTCTCTGAGAGCAGGTATGTGGGGACCGGCAGAAGGATGCTTCATGGGAGGCTCCTCCCAGGTAAGCCCACCTGGCGTGAAAAACATTGGAAGTCTTTTGGGAGCCAGCAGAGATCTTCGCATTTGCCTGGGCTCTTTCCCCTTTCATGGCATCATTGCAAATTAAACAGACGTATCTGGTTCCACTGCAGTTTTTAGATTCTCATTCCGCCTGCCTCCCCCTCACCCCGTGACACCCCACAAAACGACCGCGCATAATAAACATATGGGTCTTTAAAATAAATCAACTGTCTTGGGCTGCTCCAGGAAACGGCCGTCAATGTAAGAAACAGAACCCGACACCACCGCTTCTAGGAACGTTGAGGTCCTGGGCTGTTGTGTGCTTTAGCACGTCATGATTCAGTTCCACTGAAAGCCATGGGGACCAGTGAGGATCCTAAGGGGGAGTCAGTGCCATCCGGGATGTTGAGCCTAAGCGTGGAATTAAAAACGCCCAAGGCTGGATTCCATCCAAGGTTCATCTGCAAGATGCTTCACTGCTGGTTGAAGCCGGGACACACACAGGCTGATCTGGCTGGGGTTTATTTTATTTTCTTTGGTATACTTTCAGTAGACAGATAAGTGTGGAGAGAGAACCATCTACCTGAATGGGGGTTTCCTGCCTCTGTCTGGTGGGCACAATTTCTGAGAGGCAAGACGGCGGGGTTCACACGGTTCCTGCTGGAATGACCTCTGGGCCAAGAAACACTTGCTCTCCCTCTGAGAAGCACTAATGGGGGACTCCCCACGGGCAGGCTGCCAAGGGGCGTAATTAGGCTAAATCAAAGGCAGCAGCACCCACAGCACCAGCAACACCCCCACCAGTGAGGATAATTTAATTACAGTGTAGAAGAGGAAGCCCACTTTCCAGGAAGCATCCAATGTGACGAGAGGTGGGGAGGGATAGAAAACTAGAAAGCTTCAGAAATGAAGTTTCGTTAGCTTAAAAAAACAAAACAAAACAAAACAGCGTCTTTCTATTAGGGCTGTCCTATTAAAAACACGGCTGCTTACCATGACCGTGTCATCATGTTACCCTGAAATTCAATCAAGGCAACAGCTTGTGTGTGTTCAGGAAACAAAGGAGCCAGATGAGAAATGGCTGGGGTGGAAATCATGGGCACAGGGCTCAGTGCCGAAAGGGAAGCGAGACCCTCGAAATAGCACGGGGTGGTGTGGGGTGTGAGCCCGAGGGAGGGAGAGAGGACACCTGGATCCAGGTATCAGGAGCACACGGGCAGCTCCCCTCCCCCCCAGGAACCCGAATTAAACCAAACCAAGCCCAACCACAACACTTGCACTTCAGTATTCAGCCGTCAGCACAAGGAAGGCTGGGGAGGAATAAAATCTGGGCTACGTGGGCAGCCCTTTCAGCTATCCTCCCCTCTCAATGCCAAACAAGGAAGGTTTCAACCAGACATAAACTACCTACAAACTAATTGCAAGGTAAATCAATGAAGTAATTCACAAACAAAACTGGAAAATGCCCTTCCTTCAGGTCACTGTGGCTGTGAATGAGGAGAGAGGCAGAAAGAAAAAACAGAGGAATAAAAACTAAAGCCACTGAGTCAGATTGAAGGAATGCACAAACCCATCTCAGGTGAACTCCGTAGCCAAGCGTTAGGGGCTCACAGAGATCCCTCTGAGAAGGCCACAGAACTGAGGATCAACTTTTAAGCCTTCTAAGTGAATGCAGATCACAGTGAGAAGGCCACAGAACTGAGGATCAACTTCTAAGTGAATGCAGATCGCAATCAGAGAACTAAAGGATGGACCCCTCTTTGAGGCTGGTTTCTTACAGAACATGCCCATTTCCTTCAGGAACGTCTCATGGACCAGTCTACCCATTCCTCTGACCTAGCATGATCTGCTCTGTTCATTACGAAGGAACAGATCTACGATGCTCAAAATTGTGATGCCCCCTTCTCCCACAAAGAGGAGGCAAACCAGTTTGAAGGCATGTTTTGTTGCCTTCTGGCGCCCTGAAGATCCCTTGCGTTTCCGAGCGCCTGCTTTCCTCACCTGATGGGAAACTTCTCTCCGGGGTCCCTCCCCAGGTGGAACAGCAGGGGAAGTTTGGAGTGTTCCTCTTGGTTGTGGGTTGTCACGCCAGAAACATTCTGTCCTGGGCAGAAGTCAATGCCCTGCATCAAAAGAGAAGAGAAGAAGAAAAGAGTCAGTCCCAAGAGCCAAAGAAAGGGCGGGTGGCAGGCAGGCAGCCAGGCAAGCAAGAACAGTCCCTGGGCCGTACAAAGAGGCCAGAGAGCTCTTGCTTGAATCTTCATCAGTCTCAGCTCTCATTAAGGCAGAAAAGCCTGGCCCTAATGACTTCACCGGGAAAGCTGAAGGCAAATTAACGCTGGCCCAAATGTTCATAAGGTTGTCACGTTTTACTACATTAACTCTAATGGTTTCAAAAGGCCTCCGTGCAATCATTTTTCTCTATTACCAAATCATGACCTGAACCTCTCTTCTAGAGCCATTCCAGATGCCTCGTTTTCCTTCTGAAGGAATCGGCTGCCTTCTGTTATTTATACGGACATGGCTGGAATCAGGAACATGGAACAACCAACTCTGAGAGACCCAACCAAAAAAAAAGAAAGAAAAAGAAAGAAAGAAACAAAGAAGGAAGGAAAGAAAAGAAAAGAAAAGAAAGAAAAAGAAGAAAAGAGACAAGAAATGGAAAAAGAAAAGAAAAAAGACTGGAGCCCAAACACTAACTAGGAGGAGGAGAGGCTGTTTCGTCAGTTGCCTCTCTACATCTAACTGGCTGGAAAGGATGGTTTAAGTGGGGATTGGGTAGGGGAAGGAGAAGCGGGGAGTTAAGGAGACCTGTCCTGTCAGTGGACACTTGACCAGCCACGGCAAGGAGTGCAGATGCAACAGCAGGAGACTTTTATCAAGAAAAACTGGATGGCTGGGAAGCTTTTAGCTGTAGGTTCCCTGCACTGGCTGCGGGTCAGACTAGATGACCTTTGGGATCCCTTCCAACTCTTCATCTCTACAGTTCTTCCTCATGCATTCATTTTCATCTGACAGCAAGGCTCTCCACACTGAGTTCTCAGTCAGCCTCTCTCCACCTGACCCCACAGAACAGGAAGGCCAGCCTGGCAAAAAAAAAAAGCCACTTAAGGGGCAGGCGGATGGGGGGTGTGCAGTCAAACTGTTTGCACACAGAACATGCAGTGTGCTGAAATACTCTCGGCAGACATTAGAGGGGATTTGATTGGCAAACAATTTTCTAAAAATATCCTCTGTGTCTTTAATGGACCGGCTGGTCACTGGAGCAGTTAATATTCTGCTTTTCAATAAAGTAAGGAAGGTTAGAAGACCATGAAATCCCATTTACCTGCACCCAGCTATAGATTCCTGAGTCAGTGGCTGGAAAAATAAAAAGAGAGAGAAGTGCTTGATAAGCTGCAGCAGGCAGCCCATAATGGATTTTAAATGAATACAGAAGGGACTGACCCTTTTCACCTTCCAGGGCCAGAGACCAGAGAGGCCCGGCCAGGTTTGCCCTGGGACGCAGGGGCACTGGGAGGCATCTCTTTATAAGGAAGAGGGTGACAAGTGCAAATCAAAGCCAAGTCGTAATTTGGATGCAAATCAAAAGAGCTATTTAATTAAGAGCCTGTTAATTGGTGCAGCACTCCTCTAGAGCAAACATCTTCCGTCTGAGGCATGGATCTGTTCTCTGGGTATCTGCTGGGGCTCTGTTTGCAGAGCAAGCTTGGCTTCACCTGTCCAGGCAGCCCTTGTAAGTACGCAGGCACTCCAAGGATCACCAAGGGTGAATTAGGAAAAAAATGCTTCTAGGTGCCTAGGAATGGCTCTGTCACTTTCACGTGGGAGCTGCGAGGGCAGATGGAGTAGCGGTTTCCAGCGGTTGAGCCCTGGGGCAGCCACCCATGTCTCTGGGTGGCTGCCTTTCCCTCCCTACAGAGTCCAGACAGAAACCCTTATCATGCCCCCAGGAAGAGCCAGAGAGGCGGCTTCTTTCTTGCCAAGGCCAGCACCTCTGTGACTCAGGGGCTCCTCCTTCTGCAACCAGTCTCTTTTCTCTCTGAAACCCTGTGGGCTGCCCCCCTGGTGCCTCTCAGGCCAGCATGGCCCCTTTTTTCTCATGCCTATTTCGCCTGGCTAGGAATCTAATCGACTACTGTACTTTAAAAATGGGAGAGGATGGCTACTTCCTGAAAGCCTGAGATTTTGGACAGTAACTCCCAGAATCCCCTAGCCTGCATGGCCACTGGCTAAGGGATTCTGGGAGTTAGTGTCCAAAAATTGCAACCATTCTGAGCACCAAATAAACAAGCTTGTAGTTCATTTTATTAACACGTGATAAAGCAGGGATATCAGTGTGTTCTGAAGATGAGTGCCAGATTAAACAGGCTAGGCTAGATCCTTAGCAGAGGAACCCCAATAACACACATTAAGATCCACCCAAATGCTGTTGATCAAAAGGGATTCAAAGGGACGTGGGCATCAACCACAGGATTCCCCGCTCCACCTCCCTCTTTCCTGCTTGCCACGGAGCCAGAAACACAGGAGGAATGGAGGCCTGGTGCTCTTCCATGGTTGTCTGTGACCTGGACACACTTCCACAACCTTGGCTGCTCTGCACTCTGCCTGCCCTGCTCGTGCATCAGTTTCTCCAGCAAATGGGCTACAGATGCTTGGCCGGTATAAACATGAAGCTGAACAGCCGGTGGTTGCCAGATGGCACTTTGCCAGGTGGGGGGGGGAACACCCTGCGTCCCTCTGTGTGTGTGTGTGTGTGTGGCTGTGTGCACAAGTGTGTTAACAAATAGCCTCTGGCAATCCATCACCCGGGTGCAATCCCAGCTCGTTTTGACCCAACGAGAAGAATCACAGATGACTGTGATCTATGCCAACCCCACCGGGTCCTTCTGTCCTGCTGCCGAGCCTTCTTTGCTCCGAAGGGCAGGAGGCAGAACGGCGGAGGGAAAGTCCTCCCAGGAAAGGAAACTGCAAAGAAAGAGGGCCTGTAAGAAGACAGAGGGGTCCCCAGAGCTTGGAAAGTTACTAACATATGGGGAAAGTATTTTGTCACCCTTATTTGTTACAACGTGTTTTTATCCCCTTGAAAAACTAACGCTTCCAAAGACTTTTTTGTTGTTTGTCTCCCCATTTCAAACAACAACAACAACTGACAACTGATCAGAGGATGGTATAAACGTGAAAAATTCTGGAGAGAATGCTTCTAAAAATACCCTTTAAAAGCAACTTTAAAACAAAACAAACAGAAAGCTGTATTCATTCACCCTTAAAGCAACTTTGTACCCACTCACTGCCTCACTTTTGAAATGTAAACCTGCTGCACCCTTGTTGCAAAAAGGAGAGGAACTTGTTAGGACAGTGATGAGGGACTAATTATTGCTTTGCTTGCACTAAAGTACAAGACAGCAGTGTAGTTGATACAAAATAAAATGCATATGCAAAAATAGGTGATACTTTCACATACCGCTAAAAAATTCATGATACAATACACAAGCTTTTGTGGATTAAAAAAAACCCCACTTCCTCAGGTGTGTAGACCTAGAAGTCCATGGCAAGGTCACGGCAAGATGATTTTGCCAGGAGAGCAACCCTTAGGTGTAAAGACCAAAAGGCCTGGGCAAGATGAAATCCTGCAGGCACGTCTCTCTTAAATGCAAGTCTAGAACTTGCAACTTGAGTTACTCCCAAGCCCTGGGACTCCTCAAGTTGTGGCTTTTCACCACCAGCCGTGGGGGCAACTTTGGGTTAGGGTCCAGAGAACCATTCTGCCCCCCCCACCAGGCCCTACCATGTGAAAAAGGGGCCTTTCCAACAACCTTTACCTTTTTTTCCGTTTGGGGGTAGGGTTTATTTTTGGATTGGAAGATTTTTAAAGGGACCCTGTGCCGCATTTTATAAGAAAAAAACATTGTTCCGGGAGGCTTCAGGGAGTAGAATAAGGCCCTTCTTGCCCCCTAAATTGTCTTCAGCCAAGGAAGCAAGGTCTGCAAGAAGACCCTGGAGACGGGAGGAAATGCAGTCAGCAGTGTTTTACCAACTCCCAGGTCACCATTACCTTGCAAAAAAAAAGACGGACAGGGGCAGGCGATTTCTCTGGCACCAAGGATTCCTAGCCAGAACCTCGGTGTGCGCGATGCAGAATTAAAAGCCTTTCCTCCCCTCCCCAGGCCCTGAAAGGGCTGCTCAGGTTTCTATTGCTATGGCTCTTTTTCAGCAGCGGCCGTTTCAGCCCCGTTGAGCAAAAATTCCTTCTCACAGGTTAACAGTCTGGAAGAGATGGGAGGAAAGTCAGTCAGGTGGAGGGGGGTTGGGTGGGGGGAGGAATCAAGAAAGCCTCCATCAGCTCTCAAGCAGAAGCAATCAATGGCTAACTCACATGCTCAGAGGCCCACAATCAAATGCCATTATTGGTGAGCTTCCCCTTGGCTGCGTGACCCTCCCCTGGCAGAGAAGGTGCGATCGATGGCCTCACGGCAGATGACAGATAAGAAGGACCCTCAGAGAAGGACCAAGGCATGGAAAGCCCCTTTGCCATTTGATAGGAAAACGATAGGCCTCCTCGTCTAAAGAGAAGCACAAAATCTTTGAAAAAGACAACGTGGCCTTTCTGATTAAAAAAGGAGAGAGCCAGAGAGGGGGAGGGGGAGCACTTACAGCTCACAAGGTAGGTAGCTGACAGCACCACAGAGAAGCTGAAGTTAATGTCTAACCCACAATCTGCAAAGGGTCTTGGAAAATCACCTCTCCTTCCCACAGACGGGAGGGCCAGGCCATCGTGGGAGCAGCAGCGGCAAAAAGCTTTGAGGAAGGAGGCTGCCGACTGATGGGGGGGAGTGGGAGGAGGAGAGAAGGGGCTTTCACCTCCCCTCTGTTTCCAAGAGGAGGGAAATGCCTGGGCCTGGTCAAGAGAGCAGAAGGGCAGCCGGGAGAAGGTTGGGCTACCACTGGGGAAGAACAGAGGCTTCAAACCCTCACTCAGAGGCGCATAAAGCGCTCTCTGGCAGCCCGATCGGTCTGGCCGGGAGGATCACACAGGCCGCCTCGCTGGCCTCAAATGAAAGGCAAGATAAAAACATTGCAAACCATCAAACCTTGGGCATCCATGGAGCTCGCGGTCATCTGTCTTGGCTGACCCAGGGAAACCTCCGAAATGGAAGTGGAACAGGCAACCGGCATGCACAGCACCAAGGACAGCTCCCAGCAGGCCCCTTGCTCCTGGGATGGCCTGAGCTGAACGGGGTGGGTGTGGGTGTCTCTCTTCAAAAGGATGGGGGGGGGCTCCATGGCGACTTCCTCCAGGCTCTACCCCTTTCCTTGGCAAGAAGGCCTGGCATGGACTGGCCTTTCACTGCCTCTTGGCGCTTCTCTCCTGCTGGGAAAGCTGCTGGCACTAACGCAGAGGGTCTCCCCAAGTGCTGAGACCTGGCTCAGGAGGGTGACGAGGCTGGTCTCTCAGATTTGGAGAGCCCTGGGGCCTCTGACCCCACGGTGGCTGAGGGTCAGGTCCAGGGCACCTGGCTCCGCCACTGGCCTCTCAGCCTCTGAAGCTGAGTCCAAATCACAGCTGGACTATTGAGACGCAGCCTCCTCTACCGCTGCCGCTTAACGAAGGTGGAAACGCCCTTCTGTTCCCCAGCACCTGCCCTAAAACCCACACGGGCGACAAAGGCACATCCAGAAATAACAACTGGGATCGATCAGATACGCAACATGCCAACAGACTGGAAGGACGGCATTTTACCTTTACCAGAATAACTAACCACAAATGTTGAGAACTGAGTAATGCAAGCAGAGCACGAATGTTGGCAAACACTTCTGCAACATATCATGAGCCGTATCAGTGTAAAATGAAAAAAAAAAGTCTTAGGCATATTACACACACCATGTGCCACACCAGAAATAAAAGCCATTATGAGACAAAGACTCAAACCTAAGAAACAACCCACAGAGAAGACCAATATAAATATGTTTATGGGCATCTCGACCCTCAACCCTTCCTCGGTGATCCTTCTACAGACTTGCACTTAGAAAAAGCATCCTTGCTTAAAAGCAGCTTCTTAGAGGCACTCGGCTGATTTCCTGCACACCCAGCAGTGTCCGTCAGCTCTGCATCCAGGGGGCAAGTCTGCTACAAACCCGCCTGATTGCCTAGGAGTACATGCATCCATGATGCCCATTTCTGATGGAAAGGCACCACCGACAGAACACACACACCCCAAGCCCCCCAGCAGTGCCTTCGTCCAGACAGAGAGGGGAAAGCAACATGGGATGTGTGCTCACTGGACTTGCAGCTTCCTACAAACTTCCCGTTCCTGGGTGATCTCTCATGGATTCTTCTGTGCAGTTCAAGATGTTGGTTCTACGGCATTTGCTTAAAGAAATTTCCAGACACAAGCTGTGTTGGCCTAGCACTGCAGGAACAATAAAGACCCTTGTGGCACATTGAAGTGGCATAAGCCATTAGGGAAAACTACCGGCCACATGCCTCTATCTAATGAACTAGGCTGCAGCCTATGACAGCTTATATCAAATAGCGTTTTCCAATCTTTTTTTACGATGCTCAAGACACTTGGTTGTTTAAACTCAAAGAATTATCTACTGTTTTGGCCCAAGAAATAAATACATTTGCAAAATCCCAGGGCATCTTAGATTCCCGTGTTAATTTACAAGCACTGGCCCCCTATCCCACTAAACTCCCCTTCTGTCCAAGACAACTCGTCCATCTGCTCCCTGAGTGCTATGACAATTTGAAATTGCACAGATGAAAACCACTTGTAAATCGCAACAGCTCTTCTGCAGCTTCTGGATTCCTAACGGGAGCCTGCTGCACATGACTTATGGCTGCCTGGTTTTCTCCAGTCATGTGGATTTCCTGTTGAGTGGGTTCATATTTCTGCTTTCAGGACTCTGAGGAAAAGAGGCTGGTGCTGAAGAACATTCATAGTGATTGCCAAGCAAGGGGGAAAGGCCCGTCTTCAAGTCAGAAAATGACCAGGAAGGGGAGGATGCAAATTAGAGAACATCCTTTTTAAAGCAAAGGCAGTAGCCAGAAAGGTGGCAAGAATGGAGAGCTGATGGCCAGGATTTCTGATGTCATTTACAATTTATACATTAAGACTTCATCTCTGAAATGATGCCTGTGTGCGGAGGTTGCTCTGGCCTCTGTAATTCCCAAGCCCGTTTCAGAAATATTGATAAGAAAGTTGGAAGCAATGGCAATAATCCTGTTTAGCAATTTCAATCTCAGGAGAGTTTCAAGTATCAGCAATCCAAAGCATCATGATACTCAGCCTTCTACTTGTTATTACTAGTTTTGGATTTTTTTTAAAAAAAAGCAAGCTAGGGTTATAATTAATGTCTGAGCACCAGAAGAAAAATTGCATTTTAAAACCCAGCACTCTCCTTAATGGGTGTTCTGTCCACTAATTCTGTGCTCCAATTTTACTTACATCAACCGACAACGCAAACAGCAGGAAAGCAAATTATTTTTTAATCATCCCTCTGATGTACACTATAATTGCTGACTTTTATCAACCAGCAGTTAAACAAGGACTTAGAAAGGAATAAACATGTCTTATAATTGCATGTCTGCCACCCATTTGCAGGAGGCTAACCTTGGGGATGAGTAACTGGCTCCCATTATCATCGCTATTCCCACACCTTCCACACAGATGCTCAGGTCAACGGGAGGTGCTTCTGCTTTCCTCCCTGTCATCATGTTTGAGAGTTTGATTCTTAACTTGTCTCAGAGGGAAAAAATGTCCTAGGTGTCTGCCCTCCAATTCCTGCATAAAGGAAGTTCCACTAAGTCAGTCTTCTGGCCTAGCAGGGATACGAAAGCGGATCTCTGGAGTCCTGATCAAACAGTGTAACTGCTCTACCATCATGTACTTAAGTGAGGAGAGTTAGAAGCAAAAGGAGGAGGATGGGCATAAAAAGGAGAAAGGTACCACTAAAAAATTCTATTCAGATATTTGGAAGTTATAATGTTAAACTTAACATTATAATGGATTTAATCCTCTTTTACCATTTATAATTCAACTGTATTTTAATGTTCGACTGCTTTTTGAACTGTTTTGTAAGCCACTTTTGAGTTTCCCTTCTGGGAGGAAGGAGGCATACAAATGCCAGGGTGCAGAGAAAGAGAGGGAAATGAAAAGAGCCAAAGGACGATGAGGAGAGCAGAAAAGGCAGAAGGGCACAAGCAAAGAAGAAAGCACTTTACGAGGAGCAGGTCCCTCGTCAGATTTAACCTGCCCACACAGGCTAGGAGAGACGTGCCCCTTCCCCAGGACCTGCCTCGTCTCTCCACACCAGATTCTGAGCCACTTCACTCCACCAGGTGAGGAATGGACTAAAGAAACCTCATTCCTTTCTCCTTCAGCTTGACGGAGTTCTCTCAGTAGCTCAGAAGGCTGGAGCACATGCTTTTGGCACTGTCCTCAGCACTGCATAAATGTCAGGATGGCTGGATTGAGGGTGTTTGGGCAATTCAAGTTTCGTTTCTGAAGGCAGAGGTTGTTCTTTCCATAGAATTTAGGGTGGAGAATCTGCAACTCCTGAGACCCAGGATGACAACTCCCATCCTCCCCGCCCAACTGTTCATGCTGGACACGGCTGATGCGGGGGGAGGCAGAGTTGAACCACACCATCCGTGGGAGGCATTCGGGTCCCCCACCTCTGTCCTGAAAAAGGCAAGAGAGTTTGGGTGCAAAACTGCTGCAGGAAAGCAGCATTTTCAATTACCTGGCTGAATTGCTCCCAAGAATTGCTCCAGGTCCAGTAATGAGCCTTGTAAAGTCCAACACGTACCGCCATCATCTCGTTGCCACGGTAATAAAATATGGTCCTGAAGGAGGCAGGGAAAGAGAAAGAGAGACACCTATGGCGGCATGAGAAAGGCTAGCACCCAAACGAACAGCTTCTCTCCCTCTCTCTCTCTCTCCCGCCTCCCCTCCACCCCACCTTCCGCATTTCTCTTTCTTGGCAGCCACAGAGATAAGGGAGACAAACACTTTAACAGAGCCTGGCTGGCAGCGCAGCTATCAGTCAGGCGCAGGTTGCCTTCTAATAGCCTCTGCCGCAAGGTTTTCAATTAGCATTTTTAAAAGCGTCCATCAAGGCAAGGGCCCGTGCTGCATACTAGCACCAGCGAAAGGCCACATGAGTCCTCTTGCCAGCGACCCTTAATCCTGGAATGACCAGACCGTGTAATTTCACACCCTCGTCTGGTGCCTTGACCTACTCCAAAGGAGAGGCAACTGTGCGCCGGAGACGCCAAAGAGGCATGCGGCAGGGGAGGCCGGCCGGTGCAAGCTTTGCTCTGAATGCAGGCGAGTCTGTCACCCGGCTGAGGGGGTGTCGCGTTGGCATGGGAAATAAGGGTTGGCCATCGGAAAAACAGCACACACACAAGCATGCTCTAACCACGTAAGACATGGGGGAACAGAATGTTAAAAACACATCCCAGTGTGGCACTTGCAGGCAACAGAGGCAAGAGAGAAGGATTTCCTCATATCTATGCTGACACAGTCACAGGGGTCTCCCACCTCCACCGCCCAGATCAGCTAATGGATGGAAGTGGATGCCAACTGGCCTAGTGAGTAGGACACAGCAAAGCAGCCAAGCCTCAGGGAAGGGCTAATGTGATGCAGCTTCCCAGAGAAGAGCAGGAAGTGCAGGCGCAGTGGACTCATCCTCCCACCCGCACCCACCCCCTTTCCATTGGCCAGCTCCGATGAATGCTTCCTTTCTAGTTACTGGCACTTGGAAGATGGCACTTCAGTACAGGGTAGTCTCACATTTCCCCTTGCTTGTTTTCTAAGCAAGTGTTCCAGAATCTCTCACTGTGGCTGTTCTGATCCCTGACTTCCTTCAAAAGATTGTCCTTCATCTGTTCTTTTCTTTAAAAGACCTATTTGCTCCTCATCCTTCTGCCTTTTGTGTGTGCGCGCATGAATACCTTTGAGCTGGAGAAGAATTTTTTTCTCCCCTGACTTGTAAACTTCCTCTTGCTTCACAGTCTCCTGAGTACAGGTAATCCCACAGATAGCCCTGGGGCCGCATCTGCGCCTCACAGCGGTTCGTGTAGCATCCAATCCCATAGACCGCCCCCTCCTCCCTTGCACACCAATCCTGCCAAGAGACAAGGCCAGTCTTTGTTCATGATAAGACTTAGGCTCTCAGCTCCAGGAACAAAACCTACAAAAGCAGAACTGATGGCTCCACAAATCCCCTGCCTGGGGGCAGGAGGGGGGGAAGAGGCTTTAAAAATAGCCCATCATTTCTGCTCAGGCCAATGAGTGGAGTTGTCATGGGCGGAAAGCTGGGCGTGTGGTGTTCATAGCTCACCTGTCAATTAACTTGCCTTGCAGGATGGCAGGCAAAAGGTTGATGCCGTCGATCTGCCTGTCACTGGGAGGCTCCAATCCTGCCAGAGCCAGGCCGGTGCTGAAGAGATCCATCACGCTAGACAGCTGGTGGCTCACCTGTAGTTGATAAGACAAGACCATTTGGACACATGACATGTATCCTGTAGACACACAGAGGGAGAGAGAGAGAGAAGCAGCATCCCACAGACCCTGAGACGAGGAAGACTCCCACTTCCAACCCCAAGGACTTATTGGAGAGCTCTTGCCACTTTTAAGATCCGGACACATTTCTTGTAGGTGAAAAGTCCAAATTTAGAGGCACGGCCAACAGCCTTCTGCCGAGTCCAACCCTTCCTCCGTCCTGCTCGGTGTCCTTCACAGACGGAGTTCTGGGCCAGGGAAGTGAGCTGCCCCAGCTACCAAGACTTTCTGGGACAGCTTGTGCAGTTTGACAAGAATATATTCAATACTATAATTTATTTTATTTTGAAAATGAGACCGAGGGGGGTGGATGGGCACACCATTATACCCATTGTTTTCCTAGCAGCTTTCTGCCTGCCCATCACGACGAAGCCACGGACCAGTAATTTTTCCTTTCTTTTATCTCTGGGGAACGGTGCAGCGTTGACAGTGACCTACATTGTGTGCTATCTTCTAGGGTGCCCAGAATCCAAACGCTTGAGCAACTGAGCAACTGCAGTGCGTTTGCTGATAAGACTTGAAACTAATATTGTATTTTAAGGAATGTAAAAAGGAAAAAGAAAAAAAATCAAGATCAAAATAAACATTTTCTTTGTCGCAATATTTCAAATTCCAAATAACATGACTGGGAGAAGCAGGTTTTGAAAGGGGGGGGCACAGACAGGAGCTTTTATAATGTCTGTTGAAGAATAGCTCGAGTTGAAAAAGTCCTGGATCTGCTCAGGGCTGTCCAAGGTTCCAGGCTGGTCTCAGTTGTCCTGGAGGGGGTGAGAACCGAACCTGGGACCCTCTGGGTGAGAGCAGGGACACTTCCAGTAGGCTACTACACCCTTTCCACAAAGGGATCTGTCTTCCGACAACCCAATGAATCACTCCCCAATTTCTCTTCTTTGGGGCAGAGGCACCTCCATATTCCCCATGCAGCATTTGGGGTTCTTGGGATCTAGGAAATTTGGGGTGCTCTTGGCAGGTCATCGGCAGAGCTTCCAGAAACCAGCTAAAGGCACTGTGGAAGCGGCATAGTCACAAACTGATCCTCTGCCCCTGTACAAAAAAATCTGGGGCTATCATTGAGTTCAAGACTTTTGGGATGCAGCTTTGAACTACAGTGACTTTTAACCAAGCGTATCCGCAAACGGTAGGCGTCTTTGCGTCCTGCCACGCATTAAACGGCGGGCTGCTGCAAGGCTGTCCGTGACTTCCTTGTGCATGCCCATCATCATTAAACAGGGCCTGGAGTAGACAGCTCGCTTTAAAGCGGTCAATTACATTCCTGGTCTTGGAAGCCATTCTCTCTCCGTCAAGGAGGGAAAACTTCTTAAAAGAAATTAAGCATCCATGTTACAGGCACTTAGATTTATCGGTGCCACCACATTGGAAAGGAGAAAAGGAGACAGGAGGAGGTGGTGGTGGTGGAGGAAGAGGTTACTCAGTCTGCATAAACTTTGAAGTATTCTCAGAGGAGAAAGAGGGTGGTGAATTTAACATTTTCTTGTGTCGACAGCACTCTTTCATTCTGCTTGCCATTGCTGTAACAAAAGGCTGTGCATGTCTAGGGAAGAAACATTCCAGAGAGTAGCAGCCCAGTGAAAAATAAATAATGAAAAGCAGAAGAGCGAGATCAGATATTTTCCGTATCAGCAAGGAACAGCTGGCATTACGCACGTTAGGGAGAGGAAGGTGGATACTCACACACACACACACACACACATACATATATATATGAAATTTTATAAACTCTCGGCATACACAGAATGTCTTTAAGAAAATGAAATCCTTTTTGCTTTGGGCCACACTGCGAGAAGCCACGGCCAGCGCCAGCCTTATCAGTGCTTTCAAGCTCCAACTCTGAATCAAAGGCGACAATTAATAAAGTTGCCCCCGCCAGGAATGGAAAGGAGGAAAGCTAAATATTTGAAACTGGGTGAACAAATGTCAGGGTGTTTTTAAATAAAATCCTTTTACATTTATCACAGCGAGCAGACCTGATATCCCTGTCTAATTCAATTTCAATTTGTGCCCCGTGGGAGATAGTGAAGAAAAGGTTGCCGTTCTGTCTTTGGGTTGATATGTTCTTTTCTC